CGATCCTGGTCTCTCCGCCAGCACCCACCCGAGCCATCGCGAGTCTCGTCCTGCAGCGCTTGGCCGAACCGGCTCTTGGCCCGAGTGACCCTCCCGTCCGGCCGGCCCGGGGACACCCCTTCCAAGCGCTCGTCCTGCTGCCTCCGCCACCCACGTCTGCGCGGCCGGTCTCCTCACCACCTCCCGTCGCACCCCGTCGTCCCCCTGGGCCACCTCCCGCGTGTCCTCCCATGGCTGCCGGGATACAAGCCAGACGTCTCAGCACGCGTGGCGACACCCGCAAGGCCTGGATCTCGCCTGGCTTCACCACCGAGCCCCCGAGCCCCCGACACCTGCCTCCTCCTCCAGCGGACCCAGCTCCTGCCCGCACGGGGCCCTCGCGCCCCGCGATGAGCTCCCCCCGCGGAGGCTTCCGCTCCCGTGCGCCTTCCCGAAGGGCCTCTTGATCACCCGCTCCGGTCACTCTCTTCCCCATCCCCCGGCTCAGCGTCTTCCTAACACTCTTGCGCTTTTAAGCCATCTTATTTGTGTGCCTGCGGCGGAAATTCGCCTCCCATGGAATGTGAGTGTCGGCAGAGACTGTGTCCTGTCCACCCCTGTCTTCAGCACCCGGAATAGTGCCAGGCACATGGTAAGCCCACAGTAAAATGTATCTTCATCAATAGATGCCTCGAACCCGTGGACTCAGTCAACCCTCTCACCTCAGCCTCCCAGAGTGCTGGGATTATAGGCGTGAGCCACCGTGCTGGCCAATAAATAGATGACCAAACCTCAGAGGAGTGGTTCAGGGTCCTAGAGTAAGAAAGTAAAATATCAAGGCTTAATCTCCAATCATGCGGTCGAATCTTGAATTTCAGGCAATAGCGAGCAATTGGGGACGTACTGAGGGCCAGGAGATCTTATGCCAGCAGCTGGGGAGTCAGCTATGTGCAGAGACAGCCCTGAGCTTGGGCGTGTATCAGGAGAGCAAAGGTTTTTCTTCATCCTCATTAAAATAAGAAGAGATTACCATGTGGCGTTCAGCACAAAGCCTGAATCGCCAACAAAGACCTAAAGGCCTCTTTAGACTGGGCACAGTGGCTCACGCTTGTAATCCTAGCACTTTGGGAGACCAAGATGGGAGGATTGCTGGAGTCCAGGAGTTCAGGGCCAGTTTAGGTAACATAGTGAGACCTCGCCTCAACTAAAAAATCAGAAATAATTGGCCAGGCATGATGACGCACACCTGTCGTCCCAGCTGCTCAGGAGACTGAAGAAGAAGCATGGCTTGAGCCCAGGAGGTGGAGGCTGTGGTGAGCTGTGAGCATGCCACTGCACTCCAGCCTGGGCCACAGAGTGAGACCCTGACTCAAAATATAAAAAATGGGCCAGACTTAGTGGCTCAGCCTGTCATCCCAGCACTTTGGGAGGCCCAGGCGAATGGATGGCCTGAACCCGCAGGTTCGAGACCCACCCGGGCAACTTGGCGAGACCTTGTCTCTACAATAAATCAAAAATTAGCTGGGCATGGTAGCATACCTGTCATTCCAGCTACTTGGAAGGCTGAGGAGGGAGGATCGCCAGAGCCTAGCAGGTCGATGCTGGGGTGGCCGTGAGCGTGTCACTGTGCTCCAGCCTGGGCGACG